GAGTGAAACTGAGCAATTCCTTTTGCAGAGGTTTTGAAAAGCAATAGAGGAGTGTTTCGCATACTTCTCTATCATCTAAAGGGAAAGAACTACTACTATTCCACTAGGAACTCTTCAGATGATTTAATTAATCTATCAGAATGTGAGGTATGTATGCAATAGCAGAGGCACAAAAAACATAGAGCAAACAAACAAAAAAAGATATACTTTGAGAATATTTTTAATAAATCTCAAGTTGGATGACATGGATAGGAAAGGCCAAATGTGGTGGAAACAATACGTCTGGCTGATGAAAATACATTTTGATGTGAATGAGGGGTAACCTGCCGAAATTATAGTTTACGGGCACATTTTAAATAGCTTCCTGCATGTATTTAAAAATTACTGCTTTTAATGAGTATTGGGTGTGTATTTAGAGCAGTGCAGGTATTTAGAGTCAGGTTATGAACTTTCTGTATGTTTTAAATGAAGCAAACTAGACTAGGAATGGGCAAGAGCTGAGAGTCCCATGCCGTATCAATACTGTGGAACAAGTAGAAATGATGTAGCAGAAATGTTCTACTGCTATCTAGTGTTATTTTGTAGAGCTAAACGTTTCCGTATAAAAAGCCATGTCTTTAAACTCTATTTTTCTTTAAAAATAGATTAAAAAGAACATTTTTTAATGTCTAGGGTTTTGTCTATAATGTAGAAAATTGCTTTTGACCACTAATTTATATTATAGAAACATATATGTCTAAATTACTGGAATTGAAATGGTATAGATATGACCAAAATAAAACTGATTTTTTAAAAATAGTTTTTTGTTGTTGTTTGATGGTATGGTTTTGATATTTCTTAATCTGTACAACTATACAGTAGTACAAAACTGCCTAAAACAAACATTGCTGCTGTACATGACCACGAAACACTAGAGAACAGGTAAAAGAAGTAATTTTGTTTATAATTTAAATCCTGTTAACAGTGAATTTTTGGCCTGTTGTTTGGTGAGCAGTAAGTCTTTGGAGGCTCCAGACGCAGAACATATACTATAGAAGTGACATTTAAAAAAAACAAAACAAAACAAAACAAGCTTTTTGTTTGTGTGCATTTTTTTCCTCTTCTGAATTCAGTGTATGTTTGTTTACAGTTGGATATTGAAAAACCAAATGGTGAAGCTGTTAGCAAATACATTTGGTTCAGCGAGAAGCAGGTAAATGATGAAGTATCAGATCTTTAATTAACATCATGCAGACAGAAATTCACAATCCCAAGATTGACAAGTCCATGATCATATATTTCCTTGGACTTCTTCAGTGCTTTTTTTCAGGTAATTTTCCATCTGTTGTTGCAGATCATACTATCTGAAGTCTTTATATTTAGAAACTCCATAGCTGATTAGTGGACTTTGCTCTACTTTCATGATTAGTACCTCCTACTCTTAAAATGCTAAAATTGGTGAAGTTTTAACAAAATTAACATTTAAATTACATGCATGTGTGATTACCCTGCTTTGCAACTGTAGTGCATAAATACAGTTTATTTTCCCCTTAGGAGAGCTCTAAATAGGACTATGTCAAATTATTTGAGACACCACCTCACTTTATAGGATGAAACTTCCAGTATGAGGCTTTAGTGGAGAAGTGAAATTATAAGTGAAATTATCATTCGTAACAGAAGCATGCTTTGCACAGAAAACACAGCTTTTTGCTAATTCAGTATCAATATGAAATCATCAATGTAGAGTACAAAAATATAGAGTTACTTGGATGACTGAGTCCCCAACACCATCAGGATAGAGTAGCATAACAATTTCTTTGTTGCACAGTTCTAATGTTCTGTAGGCTTCTTAAATTATTAAGTTAAAAAATTCTTCAGAGGTTCAGAAGCTGATACACCTGAAAACAGCCATATAAATTCACTTACTAGTGCTCAAAGATAGGCCACCTGCAATTTTTGAAAGCTGATATATCTAAATTTAAGGTGATTTGAGGTAGGATTTGAGGTAGGATTAAACAGACACAGTGTTACAGCTGAATTAAAATTCAGTGTCAGAGTGTATGCAGTAAGAGTTGCTACTTGTCAACAAGTGCATTCCTCTTGTCTTGCTCTATTTGTAAACATAATCAGATGTGTCATCTCCACTTGCTAGTTGTTAGAAGTGTCGATCTCGCAACTGCAGAAAATGAGTATCTGCATGTTTTTTAGTCTCTTGGCCTTTGTTTTCAATTCTCTCTTGACTGTCGTGGATTTAATGTTTTGGTATCAATATTTTGAAGAGGATTTATACTTACAGAATTTAATTTTTTGATAATGCTTCAATTAATTGTGGGTTTTAAAATTTGGACTGAGTTTATTTGTATGGCGCTATTTGTCACCTTTTAACCTGTTCTGCTAATTAGTGACAGTCCTGTAAATACAAAATAAATGCAAGTTTTGTAGTCATTGAACTGCAGCTTTCCTATTTATTTTAAGGTGTTCAGAGGTGGTTCTTACCATGCTAGCTGAGAACTTAATGTAAGTTAATGTAACTATCTTAATACTTTTGAGATAAGAAATTGATCCCATCTTCCAAATAGAAAACAGAAAAACAGAGATATAAACACTTAGTAGTAGTATAACACAATGTTTAATGTTAGCATAGTATTCATGCTTTATGTTTAAATGTATCAGTATTACATTATACATGTTTTTCAAATGAGAAAATCTAAGTATTTGTGCAAAACAGGGATTCTTGAGTGCCAGTTCAGTGTTGTGTTTTTTTTTCCGCACCAAGTCACTTTATTTCTTTTCTCTACCACCAGTACTTAGCTAACCTGTCAGAAGTCATAAGGTTTTGGTAGTAGGAAAAAAGTCCAGATAACATCAAGTTCAATCCAGAGCGCTGCACCCAGTCATCATAGAGGCATTGCTCGTGTCGCAGAATTTAGAACCTTTGGTTGCTCTACTGATATTCCCAGTTAGATGTCGAGACAACGACAGGATTATAATGGCTATATGTTATTTATAGACATGGCTTATTCACCAAGCTGAGTTTGCTGAATCTTTCCTTGGCCTTTCTTACAGGTCTGCCTGAATGCTCAAGTTCTGCTCCTGTACTATTTTCCAGACCTCCTTAAATTAAGTAGAAAGCAATTGCTATGATGCTATTAGGGTCCAATATGAATTTCAGGGTACTTAATTCTTCACCTTCCTTGGTTGTTTGTTTTTGTTTTGGTTTTTTTTTCTTTTAAGTCAAATTGGCAAAACACAGATCAACCTTGCATATCTATCTGCAAAGGTAAGTAATTTTTGCAAAGCTACAATGAAATCTCTGGGACTCTGCGGGAGCTTATGAGCGTTTTTGGATCTTGATAGAAGGTTGAATTCTGAAAGTGCACGTCAGTTAAGGCAGTGTAAGATGGAAAGTGTTTTCTTGCTAGTATATGAAGTTTGAAAGCACTCAAAATAGTAAACTGTTACGACGAACAAGAAGATGGTTAAATTCAGAAAAAAACATTTGGGGAAAACTCTTAAGCAGAGAAGTATCTACTGGAAGCAGTTCAAAAGACCTGATGAATGTCTCTTGCAGGCAATCTTTAAATTATTCTGAGTTAACTGGGATATTTGAAGGTGAAAGAAGGCCTTCAGAAGTGAACTTGGTGTCCTGGTGTGTTTGCAAAAGCGCAGGAGGATTGATATAAAAGGGAAAGAAAGATTTTTCTCAGCTTGTCTTCAAAGGCATCCCTGCAAGAGCTGTTTCTGACTGGTAGAAAGCCATTAAAGAAGGGGGATATTTGCTATGTTTTGTATGCTTTGTGTGAACTTAGTTCGGAGAACAGTATAGAAAATTTCTTGAGTCTTTCACTTACTGATGCCAGCTTAATAGCATTCCCTGGATTCCTGCAGAAGAAATAGCTGGTCTTGGGAATAGTCTGCATTCTCCTCTGTGCTGACGATGGACACTGAAGTCTGTGATGGTGCTGTGAAACTGCGGAACAATGTCACAAGGGAATAACTGTTCACTTAAGGCACTTAAAACCAGACTTGGCTACCTACCATAAAAGTGGTGATGAAATGACAGAGAGAGAACTGCACATCTTAACCGTTGCTTCTTCCTCTGGCTTCTATTTCTAGTCTAGCAAGTTGACAAAAAGGACTTAAATGAGCTAAATGATTAACTTTAGCTCAGTGGTCATGGCAAAACAGAGAATGCATGACAAACTTCTGTGATGAACTTCTACTTGCTGTTGCAACTATTTTCTTGCTTTTATTTTGCATATTTTTTGCATTTTAATTTGCATATTTTCCAGTGAGAAGGCCTTTTGTTTTCTGTAAGAATCTATTATCCCAAGTATTGATGGGTTTCCAGCTATTAAGATGTAATCATATACGTTACGTATTTACCTATAAATTTGAAAAATCTTAATGAGGAATCTCAAAGGAATACTTGGAATGCACTCGTAGTAAATTGGCTTATTTTCTTGTAGTTTACTAGAAGTGCTGATATGAGAGCAGTTGTGATGTGGAAAGTATATTAAACCCTGGAGATGGATTGTATAAATTAAATTATTTCTTTCAAACTTTTAATACGAGGTGATTTAGGCATACTTGGAATTACAGTAAAAAAAGATCTATCACTATCTTTTGAGGTAATGCATATGAAATAAATATAGCAACCTTGAAAACAAACAATGCAGTAATAAATTAAATTAGATGTTGCATAACCATGTATGTTTTCTAAAGGATTATTGTGGGTGAAGAGAGTCAACAGGAGGCTTATAATAAAGTTTGTTTCTTTCCGCTTATGAAAGCGGTCTAGAAATATTTTCACTTGAGATCTCTGAAAAATAAAGCCAGTCATTCTTGACAGGAAATCCTGAAGCAGCTAGTTTGGTGTCATTCTGTGGAGACAAAATCACCCTTTGGCTGTACTATTTTTAATAAAGACTACTGGACTTTACATGACTTTTAGATTTAGTTAATTTCAGAAATGGTTGTGAAATTATTGTCTGATTTCTTTTTTGTATTTTTTTTAATAGGCTACGACAAGTGGGAGCACTGCAATTACTTTCAATATTGTAATATTGATCAAAATTATTTTTGGCACAGGAAGACTGAATGTCCTTGCTCTTTATGGAGACATCATATGTAAGAAACGTTTAAGGCTTTGTAAAACTGTTGCCCAATACACTGGAACATGGAGACACAGCTAGACCCCATGAAGGATGACTTGCCCTTAATGGCCAACACTAGCCACATGCTTGTAAAGCACTATATATTGGACTTAAATGTGGATTTTAAAAGTAAAGTTATTGAAGGCATCATAGTTTTATTCTTTGAGACTGGGAGCCGGTACAAGAAAACCAGCAGTACTGGCCAAGAAGGGTGCCAGTTGCAGTGTGATGAAACCTGTAAAATAAGGGCATCTGAACCCTGCCATGTTCCTGGGACAAATGTGAGTGCCTGCTCATCCAAAACAGAGTGTAATGATTTTACTGTCTGTGGTAAAGGCGAAGAAGATACTTCTGATAAAAATGGTAACCGTAGCAACAAGGAACAGGCTTCTGGGATTTCTAATTCAAAGAACTGCTGTGGCATAGAGAATCATGGGAATAAGGATTTTCTGCTGGTATTGGACTGCTGTGATTTGTCTGTGCTAAAGGTTGAGGAGGTAGATGTTGCTGCAGTGTCAGGCATTGAAAAATTCACAAAGTCTGCCAAGCTAACTGGTGTTTCAAAGGAGCTGGAAAATCTCAGGAATCAAATTGTACATGAACTTGTGACTTTACCTGCTGATCGCTGGAAGGAACAGCTACACTATTTTACTTGCTGCAGCCAGGCGCCTGGCTGTGGAGAGCTTCTGTTTACTACTGGCACTTGGAGCTTGGAGATAAGGAAATCAGGAATTCAGACTCCAGCAGACTTTCCCCATGCAATAAGAATATGGTACAAAACCAAACCAGAGGGAAGATCTGTTACATGGACTACGGACCAGAGTGGCAGGTATGTAATTATTAGCTGAAAGCTTTGCACACCTGGGTGCAAGAATGTAGAATTGTATAATGCTGAGCAACTGTGTGAAGATGATGAGCATTCTCTTCCACTGTTTTCATTTCATCCTTGGTTTGAGTCCTGTTGCTGTCCTGTAGGAGAACGGAAAAACTCTCTGCTCAAGAAAGTCCAATGGACTTGTAGACCTGTCTAAGTGACTGCATTTGCTTATTCTGAATGAGAGTAAATAATTTTTGTGTATTGGAGTAAGTGTATGCAGGGAATAGGGAATTATCACTTAGCAGAAGAAAAGGTATGCATGACAGGTTATTTTCACTTTAAAACTTTGTGTTCTTTTTCTCTGCTGGTTTTCACAGCTGATCATACAGCAAAAAGATCAGCATACATAAGACTTATTAGAATTGCTTCACAGCTAGTCTTTTATCAATATTGTAATAAGCTTAGTGATGCAGTCTTTTCCAGTTTAGTCTCTCATAGTCAGCTTCTAAAATCTCCTTCATTTGTTATGTAAAGTTCATTGATGACAACAAATGAACTGCAAACTAAAACTGCAAGAAGAATTGGCGTTTTATCTAGCGTTTGTGAAGGTGCACAGTGCTGTACAGAATTCTTCAAGGGAAGATCTTTATCGGAGGGAAACTACGATCCACTCTGGACTTCAACTAGAAGTGATTGTTTTACTGTAAAGTTCAAAGATGGATTTTAATGGCTGGTAGTTCTTTATGCTACCTAAAAACCAGGAACAAAGTTGAAAGATGAAGAAATTTGGTCTAATTGAATACCTGCTTTTCATTCCCAAGCTAGAGATGGATGGCTGCCTTTCATTTCATTTAGGCTAAGAGAGATTATGAGTCTTCTCCTTGGCATCCACATTAGGGAGGATAATGAGGCCTTTTAATTGTACATCTGGTAGTTAGGTAATTCTACTGCTAAACCATCATCTGCATCAAGTCCAGGAATTTCTCAGTTATGTTCATTACCTCTTCCCCTTTCCCCTCCCTTCCTCAATCCCCAAGGAGTAATTTTTGGTATTAGTTTAGGAAATTTAACTCAATTGGGTACTTTTAGTTATGAAAATTCTGCATTTTAACTGCAGGCAAATGCCAGGCAATTCACAAAATGTGTCCGTGTCTACCTGCCCCTTACTGAAGTCTTTGAGATTAATGTTAGCAACACTCAACTGGCATAGGACTTCTCCTCTGTCTGCTGTCTGTGTGTTTTGAGCACCTGAAGGTTTCTTTTAAGCATCTAAATCACTAACATGTTTGTTTTGACTCTTTTTTTCCCTTTTACCACAAAGCGTTGTCCTTGCTTTAGAGACGTTTCATGGCAGTTGTACACAAACACATGGAATTTTATGAATCAGTAATGAAGCAGGAAAAGATGGCTTGATGTGGATCAGGCAGTCTGATGGCAGCAAATAGACTCAAGCTGGTTTATTTTCAGTCTTTTGTAGGGTATTCCAGAAACTAATGCTGTCAGAAAATAAGTTTTCATATCACAGCCTTTAGAATCTTTCTTGCTACACTTTTAAAATCAAATTCTGTATGTGATGTGCCCATAAATATAGTGGTAAAGTGCATTGTACAAAATGCTGTCATATTTTTCCTTCCCTTTCCAAAAATAAAGCCCATTTATATAATGTGTGGAGGAAGTACTATTACATTATATTCTCATAGGGGAAATCTTTAAATTGTTCCAGATTATGCATATGGTGCTGTTTTAGGCAGATGTCAAATCCTTTCCCAGAAGAGTCTATCTTCTAATCCCAAAGCAAAGTGAAGTGAATAACGAGTAACAAGTACAAGCATTGTGCGCACCCTTCCAATGTGTTTCCTCTTATTTAACACTATTACAATGTTTTGAAATTTAACCTATGCACTGTTTTATAAAGACTTATATTTATTTGTCTTAAACAAAGATGTATTATAATGCACAAAAAGAAATCAGTTAAAACAAATCTTTGTGGGATGAGTTCAGGCAAGTTAAGATATGTGTATGCAAACCTGGCATTAGCACAGCAGGGCACACTTCTGCTTTCAGGAGAGGAGCTCAACACATGGAATTTCAGCATTTCCATGTTTCAGCTTTTGATACTAGAAAATATGTTAATGATCAAGAAGTGAAGATTTCTTTAGCCTCACAATATGGTTTTTGTAATAGCATACTTTTGAGGACCTTAAAAAGAGGGCAAAATAGAGGAATAGAGTATGTATGTGAGTATATGTGGGTATGCACATAAATATACATGTGTGTACAAATACACACACTTTTTGTCTCTCCAAAAGTTATACTTTCAAGGACTATATCAGTTCTTAAAATTGGCAGGTAACGTTTAACAGTGATCAATAATATAATTACTCAAATAGAAAAAAAAAGAAATTTATTATAATGTTTGTCATATATTTGTCACGAAGAAAGAGCAGTTCTGTTTCAAAGATTTTCAGTTGTTTACTAGCAATACAGCACAGGGGTTTCAAGATAAGATGGTAATGTTCCAATTTTAACAAAATGATACTTTTGTTTGAAATAGTCTTAGTAATTATTTATTATTACAACATATTCTTTTATATTCTATTATATATAAGATATTATATTCTAAGTATTATAAAATGATTTAAAATTAAAACTTATTTTAGACACTACAATAACTACTTTGTTCAGAGAATAACATGTATGAAACATCTTTCCTTACCGGGAAGGAGAAACTTGACCAGCCTATCAAGGAAGGTGTTCAAGCAGTTTTGCCTATCTCTTAGGAGTATGTAGCAGTGTTGAGTCAGCATGGCTACCAGCATATTTCAAATTAAATAGTTTCTCATGATGATTGTTTAGAATTCTTATTCATTAAAATATCCTGGGATTCCATCTCTTTATTGTTTTAGAAAAGGATTAAACACGTTTGGGTTAAAACTAAAAGGGTAATTTTCCTAGCAAACAGCCTCTCTAATGGGAGATTCCTCCCACCTTTTTTTCTGCCCTACTTATTTCCTAGTGCTGTCATAAATTAGTTAATGATTTTGCTGATATTAATGAACAACTGGAGTAGAACTCATTTCGTCATTGTGGGATTAGGAATGAAAGAGTAACTTCGATATAAAAGACATCAATTCTGTGATGCTAAAACCTTTCTGTACTGGGTCTTGAATTACTTGGAGTGTATGATTTTCATGAGAATGCTATGGAAAAAGTATATTTTTAGAAACTATTACATGATTGAACAGTTTTGGGGAAACACTTTAAAAGAGTTAACCTGGTGTTAATTTTCTGAAGTGGAAAATACAGCAAAACATGAAATGATCTCCTTAAAAAAATTATTATGATATCTTGATATTTATTTGACCAATTTAAATGGCTTACCTTTAAAAAATATTTTGTACCTGTCTATTTTATTAACTTTATGATATCTTATTATTAGATTAGAATATCAACATATTTTTAAAGAATTCAGGAAATATTTTTGCCTTTTTGAAAGCTATGAGGGTGGATACAATTATAAATGTACAATTTAGTAGAAGAGATATCACAGATATCACTGAACTGCATGGTTCCTCTTCTGTTATAAATAATCTTGCATGTATGTAATGTGCAGCTGAAGCACCTGAAATAGATAGTGATTGGGAGAATATCCAAAGAGGTAGGACTTAACACAGGAATGAAACAGACCTTCGTTTCCTGTTTAAATAATTTGATGTTACTGATTCTGCTGAAACAGCAAAGAACTAGTAGAAAAGTTCTGACAAGCCTACTGGTATCTGTTTTGTGGACTCGTGTCAGGAGTCTGAGTTATGCTGGATCTCACTGGCATAGAGACTGGCACAATTTCTCATTACTTTTTGTCTGCAGATAAAAAAAGGGAGATTTTACCTTTTTTGAAACTGGTTGTTTCAAGCCCTCTTCTCCTTAAGGCATATATTTTGAAATGCAAATCATGTTCCGAGAGAGTAGTTGCAATGGTTCAGATGCACTGCTGATGCGCTATTCCTAAATGTGTGTACTTATGAAGATAAGCTCTTATGAAGACATACTCTTTGGCACTGTAGTCAGTCAGACAGTGTTACGTAGTGTGCTGCATACACTAGGCACTAAATAAAAACTGTATAAAAGTACACATGGCAACATTGAAATTTTTCGGTTTTTTTTCTATTTTATTTACTTCATAGTTGAAATTCCCTTTTGAAAGAGACTGAAATTTTCATAAACATTCTAAACTTTAGATTTTTTATAAATATTCAGGGTAGTGGGAAAATGCTAAACATGTTTCTTGAATATTTAGCTAAAGCTTGAAGCTGAAGTGAGTTCCTGAGCAGTGATCTCTAATTTCCTGGAGGTTATGCATAGAAGTCCATGTTTATGAACTTCCAGTGTATGGAAATATAACCTAGAAAAAATGTTTTGTGTAGTTGTAAACACCAGGTTTCTAGTGTCAGTCACAACAATGTTATTTACTAAAAATCAAAAGCGAGCTTTAATACATTTTAGTATATGTAATTTCCTTAAGTTTCAGAACAGTTTGCAAGAATTATGATACTGTTTTGTTTTATCTAGAGACTGACGGAGAAGCAAAATGTCACCATTTTACCTGTGGAAGGATGGCTTTGTAACATAAGTCTCCAAAGTTTTGATTTGGAATTGTTTAAGCCTATCATCTTTATGTCCTACAGAGGTCAGATGACCTTCTAAAGCTTGCAAAGTTGTTCCTTGTGTCCTTAGTGATTGGAGCTTATGAGTGAAATTTACATTTTGCTATGGTAGGCTAGCAATTTGCAGTGGATATTGTCTGGGTATTGGCTACAAGTCATTCCCTAATCATACTCACATACCTGGGCAGTTTAGGCCATGCTTAGGGTCTGCAAACAAAGAAAGAGGGCAATTGTGCTGATTCCCAGGCTGGATCACACAGGTTGTCCCTACATAGTCTGAAGTCTATCTGATTACTCTCAAAGTTCAGCATAAGGCTTTGTGGTTTTTTCCACAGTGTCTTAACAATA